ACTATGCTGTCTTGCGGACGCGTGGTGGTCACGCCAGACATGGCCTAGTCCGAGGAAAGCATGACTAAGAAAGGGGGTCGCTACAGGTTAATCACAATTTCGAACTGCCTTTTCGATTATGAATGGCACCAAATATAAAATGCATGTTACCCAGTCGCGTGCATAGACCACTTTTGGTAAAAATGTCTACTTAAGTTCTATCAATTTGCTATGTCCTTATAAATGTGTATATACATTATAAGGAAGGTATACTTCTACTCGGTTGGTAGAGAATCATTGCCTCTCCCTCTTATTATTTTTCAAATTTTATATTCGAAGTAAAGGTATATTTTGGTTGTAAAAAAAGTTTTAATCCCCTAATGATTTTGCCGCCAAGTTGCCGTGTCACTTAAGTTTAGAGTTTACAAGTTCTATGAAAAATCATACTTTATTTGATTTCACTGAGAAGCTACCATAGAGAGCTCATAAAACTTCACAGTGAATTTGGAAAAGGTTGTGTGGAAAATTAAAAACGAGAATTGATATTTCACGATCTTAAAAATCTCATGATTATAAACTTTTTTCACGACCGAACGATTACCTTTTTTCGGGCAAACATTTTAAAAGGACTTGCATTTCTAGTAAACTAATTCAATTAATGATTTCTTTAGCGTCTTTCTTTATATGATAATTTACAAGGGCATCGAAAATGGAGGACAGTTTTCATGATGACGAAAAGAAGCACATTCAAAACTGGCATCCCAGCCTGACTAAAAAAAATATATTCGAATTATTTGCTGCATGACAGGCAGTATTACAACCCACCTAAGTAATTCCTTCTAATCGAAAAGACGTTTCAGCTTTTTGGAAAACATTCGTGAAGTTGGTCCTCCGACTTTAAATGAAACTGTCAATCGTTGATGAAAGTTCATCGATCGCTAACGGAATTTACTTGTCCCGCTCTACCTTGGGGCTCATTATCGAGCCCCGCCAGCAGCCAAACAGCGGCTAATAGTTTAGGCAGATGAAATTGCCGACAAAGACAAGGGAGACTGGAATGGCAATTTCTGATTCATTAGCCGCCATATCCAACCCCAAGTGTTGCACCGTGAATATATTCATTTACGTGGGGGAAACAGAGCCAGGTTTCACCTTTTTAAGACTTTCCCTCGGCGGTATTTTGAAGGTCGCAGCATTGCCCATTAAACATCCCATTGGGCAACCACAGACGCACATCCTCCGGCGGTCGTCTGCAAGCAATGACCAACTTTTTGCTGTCCCTGTCCGGTCGCAGACCCAGATACCTCTGTTCCCAGCGAGGCAGAATGAAAAAGGACAGCGGCGGGGCACCAGTTGTGGCCGAATAGCGCGCCAGTTTGGAGGCGGAGGATCGCTGCTGAAAGTGTTTGACAAAGTCCTGATTCAGCGCTATAGCCTGAATTGATCGCAGGCGTTGGACCGGAGCGAAAGGACTTGCTGGCATTAGGTAGCCGAGTTTGTTGGCTTCAACCAGGTCCGGCTAAAAACAATTGGTAGAAAGTGCAGGAGTTGTGAGCTGGGAGGCGAGAACCAAGTTAGAAATCCCTCAGCATAACGTATGTACGTTAAATATACTTAAATAGCTACTTATAGGTATTTCAGTAGAAGTTATTTTGATTTCTATTTATTGAAATCGAATTTCACTAAACTTCGCCTCACCACATTGCATCCTATTCCTGACGGTTGGTTCACTTTGGCCTACCCTATTACGGGTGTACTTAGTCTAAATTCCTGACATTTCCACACGGAAGCATTTAGTGACATGTTGTTACTTTCGATTACAAGAAGTACACAAACCGTACAGATTCCGTTAGCCGCTTTGGTTGCTCATTCCAACATACAGGGCAATCTTTAGTGACCAGCTTTCTATAGTATTCCTACCTTCTATT